TTTTATTTCTACTAAAAAAAAAAAAAAATAGATGAAAAAGATGGAAATTGAAAGGCATGTTTTGAGTCACCCAGCTGGACTTTTTTCTTAGGTTTATCGGTCCGTGAACTTTTTGGAAATTGTGATTTTTTGTCCAAACGCGAGATGGGAAAAAATGTCAAAATCGTGAAGCCTCAGGAGGGATGGGAAAAAATGTTCCCCTCCCAGCTTTACCCCCAGCCTCACATCTGCCACTTTGCCAGCCCAGCAATGAATTACGTACCGTCCCAAACCCCCACAGCAATTCTGCCTCCCAGCCCCATCTCTGCTCCTCCTGCAGCTGCAGGAGTTCTTCACCCCCCTTTCCCAGGCCTAGAAGGGGGCAGGTGCAGTGAGGTTCCCATGGATCCTTTCCAGGCCAGGTGTTGCTGGAGGGAGAAAGGACGGGGGAGGAGCAGGAGACCCATCCCATTGTTCTGGGGAGGGGAAGTTCTTGGACTGTGCTCAGGACTGTGAGTTGCCCTGCCAAGGGCGTTCCCTGTGGTAGCTGGGTGTCAGCTCCCTCCCTCACGCACTGCCCTCTGGGCAATGCCAGCCCTAACCTGGCCTTGCAGGGTACCAGTCATTGCATCCCAGTCCCAGAGTCCCTTCAAATCGTTCCCCTGCGAGATCCAGCCCCTGACACTGGCTACTCCCAGCAACCCCAGCACCGCTGCCCCCAAGGGTGTGGTGGGCCCCAGGGTATCAGTTGTACCTTAAACCACCGCTCCTGCAAGCCACGCAGCACTAGCCAGCACCTGCAGGGAAACACAGAAACAAGAGAGAGGGGTGGAAATTGGGGGGTGGGGGGGAGGAGGAAGAGAGGGGCCAGGCCCTGGTTTGCAGGGTGGGAGGAAGAAGAGAGGGACTGGGCCATGGTTTGCAGGAGGGCGGGAGGCAGAGGTGCTGGAACTAGGGCTGTGGGGGGTGCTGCAGCACCCCCTGGCTTGAAGTGGTTTCCATCATATACAAGGTTTACAGTTTGGTTCAATGGCTCTCAGCACCCCCTGTAGAAATTGTTCCAGCACCCCTGGGGGGAAGTGGAAGAAATGGGCTGGGCCATGGTTTGCACTCAGTAGCTGCTCCACTACACCACAGCAAGAGCCGCCTTGTGAGGAAGAATGGCCTCAGAGTTAATGCATAAGCTGAGGACTCACGAATTCAGGGCTCCATCCCCAGTTCAGTTACAGACACTAGGGCAACTCATTTTGGCTCGCCCCTTGCCTCAGTTTCCCCATCTGTAAAAGGAAGATAATAATAGAGCAGGGCAGGTTTCCCATCCAGAGAAAATTCATTGAGATTTCAAAAATATTCCCAGCCTGGAATCAGGATGAAAAGTTGAAATCTCAAAATATTTCAAAAATTAAAAAAAAAAAAAAATTGGTTTGATCAGTTGAAACATTTTGTTTATCTTTCAACCATTTTGTATTTTCCAAACATTTTTTCTGTAATTAGCTCAGATTTCTAAACAAAAAGTCATTTTACACTGAAAACTGAAATTTGTCATCTCCAATTTTTCGTTTTCAAATCTTTTTTCTTAAAATGTTTTAGTTAAGACATTTGTCAAAAATGACACTTTCCTGCAGAACATTTTCTGCAAAAATCTTTTGCTAAATTTTTTCAGACCAACGCTAATTACAACCCTCCCTTTGGTCTGTCTTGTCTATTTTGACTGTCAGCGTTTTGGGAAAGGGATGGCTCGCACTATGGGGTTGTACAATCCCTGGCACAACGGGGCCCCAATCTCAGTGGGTATATCCAAGTGATATTTTAAGAATAGTGATGACTCAGGACTAGGGTGACCAGATGTCCCGATTTTATAGGGACAGTCCCAATTTTTGGGTCTTTTTCTTATACAGGCTCCTATTACCCCCCACCCCCTGTGCCGATTTTTCACATTTGCTGTCTGATCACCCCACTCAGGACAGAGGTGGGCTTGTGGTGTCTCAGCTAAATCTGGATCCTTTTTAGTCATAGTTAATTTCTAGCCCTGTGGTGTGAATAATATACTCACCCAAAGGCAATCTGGTTTAGCAGGTTGGATCAGTGTGTTTGTCACCTCTGCATTGGAAGCATTTAGCGTCGTATCTGGCACATTGTTTTCAGACTTTCCCTTTTTTGGACTTCATCCATGCAAAACAACATAACATTTTAACCAAGTGACCTGCTTAAGGCCTTATATAACCCTCCGAGGGCTATATAAACCCCCACCTGCTTTTCCAGATGGTAAAATGCAAGGATCAACGTGGAATTAAGCTTGGCAAAACCATTCCCTTATGCGTCTACAGTTCATAGAAAAGGTGTGTGGAGTTTTCCCGCAGCTGACAGAAAACTAGGAATGGTTGCATGGGAATTTTTGCAACAAAGGAGAAGCAACGGGGTAACACACTCGGTTATTTAGGGAGAATATAACTCAATGCCTCTTCTTTGGAAACTACACCCTCAAGAATCCATGCACACTATTTGCCAACAGCTGACTTTTTGTAAGAAGTGCTGCGCTTTATGGCTGTCTTTGAAGTTGTGAAGTGGAATACAAGCTGGATTCAAATTAACATCTTTCTGTTTAGATATTTTGATCACACAATGTTTAATTTTTACAAGTAATCGACCTATTCAAGTAACGTCCGTTATTTGAGCCCCATTGTTTTTGCTTAACCCAGACGGTTAGTGCTGAATCTTTCAACCCGGCACCATGAGTTTTGCCAAGCTCTTAGACCATGTCGGGGGGATGGGTCGCTTCCAAATCATCTATGTGATCTTACTGGCTATCTCCGTTTTCATGCTGGCCAGCCATAACCTCCTGCAGAACTTCACTGCTGCCATCTCTGAGCACCACTGCCATGTCCATATCAACATCAACAACACTCCTTACACCAACCTCACCGGAAAGCTCGCTGCCAAGGACCTCCTCAGGGTCTCCATCCCCATGGACAGCAACCAGCAGCCAGAGAAGTGTCACCGCTTTGTCACTATGCAGTGGCAGCTCCTAGACTCCAATGCCACAGTCACAAACCTAACCGAGCTGGAGACTGAACCCTGCGCTGATGGGTGGGTGTACGACAAGAGCATTTTCACCAGCACTATCATTACAGAGGTACGTGAGAGCAAGGCCTGCTGCAGTGCAGGTAACCGGCTGGGAAAAGGATACTAAACCATGCGGTGGAAGTTGGGGTGGATGAGTTGAAAATATTTTTGTTGGAGTTATGCCTTTTCATAGATTTTTGCAAGTAATTTTCACTGTCCTCTGGGCAGAGAGGGTCAGAGTATCTATCTATCAATCCTCCTCTTCTTAGTATCTGATTTTAAAATTTGCACCAAGCAACAGCCCCTGCATGTCTATTGACATCGGCTTGGTTTCAGCCTAAGTCAGTGCAGAATTTCATCCAGGGCTACGTGCTGTTCTCAGTTACATTCTGGCCCCTCAGGCGACTTCAATCCATGCGGCTTCAAGTGGCTGCCATTGCACAGGTGTAAAGGAAAGCAGGACACGGCCTTTACGCTTCACAGAGGCTTGATTCCTTCAGTGTATGAGTAGGAGGAAGCTGTGGTTGCACTGGTTGGGGTGGGAATTCCCCCGTCCATTTTGCAGTCAGTTTCCTCTCAATTGAACTGGACACAATCCACTAATCTGCATTAAATAAACTGTGAATGATGCTAAGAGCTAGCCCTGCTCTCCCCTGGATCTCAAAGGGCTTTACAATAGTGACTAAACTTTACTATCCCACCTCATAGCATGACTTGCCCAAGGTCACAGCAAGTCAGTGTCAGAGCTAGGAGTAGGGGTCCCAGTCTCTTGAACGCTCACTCCATTCAAAACCATCCGCCTCATGTGGGATCATTATATTTGATACTACATTGACATCGAAAGGACCCATTCTGCCAGGCACTGCAGAGATCCAGCTGAGTTCGAAGACTCACTGTGCCAGATGCTACACAGACCCAAGCTGAGAGTGGAGCCCTGTTGTGCCTGGCACTGCACAGAGCCCAGCTCAGACTGGGGAACCCTTGTGCCGGATACTGCATGGAGCCCAGCTCCAATCAGGGCCCCATTGCACTGGGCACTGCACAGATCCCAACTGAAACTGTGCTGGGTGCTCTGTGGACTTGAACTGTGATTGGGGCCCAGCTGTGCTGGGTGCTGCACAGGGACAAAGGTTGAGACCAGGATGATCGTCCCTCAATTTACAGATGATGGACACTGAGGCTCAGAGAGATTAAGGCTGTGATGTCCTGCAGATCACATTTCCCATTAAATGTAGTGTCGGAGAACAACAGAGTTCTTACTCTTTTGATTGGGTGCAGCAAAGTCAGATACTTTATTATCTCAAGCAATTGCGTAGAGGGAGAGAGTGCACTAGGACACAGGGTCTCTCCCTCCTAGGCAGGTCTCTCTACAGGTAAACAATTACAGCAAGCATTTATACCTTTTGTTACGGACAATAATGAGCAACAGCTGCATTTTGTTTATACATAGGTCATTTTGATATTTTATTTTATTAATTTATTGAGACTTTAGTCTACATTTTATATTATTTACACAAGGTCGCAACAACTTTTTACACAGTTTTTTTTACTTGCCTTACACAATTCTCACTTCTACAAATCTTGCGTTATTAGGGTTACAGTTGGCCTGATTCTTGCCAACAAAAAAACCTGTTTGCATTAAAATCCCCTCCCAATCCCTGTTAGGCCTTGCTCTACTTCCACAGTAGGTAGCTTTGGACTTGTAATTAACAAATTAAAATGAATTGTAAGGATTGCTATGGGAACTGGCTGTCTAAATGCCATTAATGGCTCTGAAAATCTCAGCCCCAGTCTGGGGCATTAACCACAAGCCAGTCTTCCTCCTGGAGCCCAGCTTCGTTTTCTCTCTCCCTTACAGTGGGACCTGGTGTGTGACTCCCGGCAGCTGAAGCAGATGGCTCAGTCCATCTATATGGCTGGGATCCTGGCGGGAGGCATCATCTTTGGACGTCTGTCAGACAGGTGAGAGCAACGTCGGTATGAAGCCGAGCAAGGCTGATTCCTGGGGGAATCAGGAATCTCGAGCAGGAGAAGAGAAGTTATGGTATCTCTGTATTTGGCACTGGTGCGACTGCTACTGGAATCCTGTGTTCAGTTCCGGTGTCCACAATCCCAGAAGGATGTTGGTAGGTTGGAGAGGGGTCAGAGAAGACCCACGAGAATGATTAAAGGCTTGGAAAACGTGCCTTACAGTGAGAGACTCCAGCAGGGCCGCCCAGAGCGGCAATTTGCCCCAGGCCCCAGGCCCCACAGGGGCCCCCACGGGAATATAGTATTCTATGGTATTGCAACTTTTTTTTTCTATGGTATTGCAACTTTTTTAAGCCCCGAAATTGCTTTGCCCCAGGCCCTCTGAATCCTCTGGGCAGCCCTGGACTCTAGGAGCTCAATCTATAAAGCAAAGGTTAAGGGGTGACTTGATCACAGTCTGTAAGTGGAGCCTCTTGAATTCTTTTAATAATTGTTTATTTTATTTTTGGGGGAATTTCTTGTTATTTTTGTTTTGTTAATGCTACCCATGCAGGGGATCGGATCTTGCCTGGGGGTTGGGAGGCTCTGGAGGGGGGCTGAGTCCTGCCACCAGGGGTTGGGAGGCTCTGGGGGGCGGGTGAGTGTTGCACCCCCGAGCCTGCCCTGCATTCACCCTGCAGAAGCGGCTCCTGGGGTCCTGTGCGGTGCGGCTGGGCCTGGCTCTCGACTCAGGGTGTTGTGGCCTGGCACACGGGGTCCCAGTGCTGCTCAGGTTTGGCCGGGTGCCCCCCCCTCGTTCAGGGTGGGGAGCTAGGTCAAGCTTCAGAGGACAGGAGCTGACACTGTAGGGTGAGTTTTTAGCTTTATTTCATATTATTTCACATTTGCAAAAAACATGGGGCTTAGGTTAGGGTTACCATTCATCCGGATTCCCCCGGACATGTCCGGCTTTTTGAGCTAAAAATAGAGTCCGGGGGGGAATTTGTAAATGCCCGGACTTCCCCCGCCCATGCAGAGCGCGCGCGGCTAACAGGGCAGCCGGCCGGATGGTGTCACTTACATGGGGCTCCGACAGCCAGAGAGAGCACGTCCTCCGCCTCCCCTGCAGCAGAGCTCCCTCCCTGCATTCGCAGATCACCTCCAGCAGTTCGCACTGGCAGTCTGGAGCTCCTCCCCCGCTCCTCCTCCCGTGCCAGCCAGCCTGCCGGGACGAACGGCTCACAGAGACGTTAGGTGAAGGCCAACAACAAGGGGGCCAGAGGGTCGGAGAAGGGGTAGGGAGGTTTTGGAGGGGGCAGTCAAGAGACGGGGGGGGGGAGGTCCGGGAGTTCGGGGAGGGGCTTTCTGGGGGCGGTGTGGATAAGGTTTTGGGTAGTCAGGGTACAGGTAGGAGGTAGGGTCCTGGGGGGCAGTTAGGGTGGGGGGGGTCTT